TTGTCATGCTGGAATACCCATCCACGACCCATTTTCAATGCCCTGGCTGAGGAAAGGAGGTTCTCACCCAAGATTTGACGGTACATGGCCCTGTCCATCGTCCCTTTCATGCGGTGAAGTTGTCCTGTCCCCTTAGCAGAAAAACACCCCCAAAGCATAATGTTTCCACCTCCATGTTTGACGATGGGGATGGTGTTCTTGGGGTCATAGGCAGCATTCCTCCTCCTCCAAACACGGCGAGTTGAGTTGATGCCAAAGAGCTCGATTTTGGTCTCATCTGACCACAACACTTTCACCCAGTTCTCCTCTGAATCATTCAAATGTTCATTGGCAAACTTCAGACGGCCCTGTATATGTGCTTTCTTGAGCAGGTGGACCTTGCGGGCGCTGCAGGATTTCAGTCCTTCACTGTGTAGTGTGTTACCAATTGTTTTCTTGGTGACTATGGTCCCAGCTGCCTTGAGATCATTGACAAGATCCTCCCGTGTAGTTCTGGGCTGATTCCTCACCGTTCATGATCATTGCAACTCCACGAGGTGAGATCTTTCATGAAGCCCAAGGCCGAAGAGGATTGACAGTTCTTTTGTGTTTCTTCCATTTGCGAATAATCGCACCAACTGTTGTCACCTTCTCACCAAGCTGCTTGGCGATGGTCTTGTAGCCCATTCCAGCCTTGTGTAGGTCTACAATCTTGCCCCTGACATCCTTGGAGAGCTCTTTGATCTTGGCCATGGTGGAGAGTTTGGAATCTGATTGATTGATTGCTTCTGTGGACAGGTGTCTTTTATACAGGTAACAAGCTGAGATTAGGAGCACTCCCTTTAAGAGTGTGCTCCTAATCTCAGCTCGTTACCTGTATAAAAGACACCTGGGAGCCAGAAATCTTTCTGATTGAGAGGGGGTCAAATACTTATGTCCCTCATTAAAATGCAAATCAATTTATAACATTTTTGACATGAGTTTTTCTGGATTTTTTTGTTGTTGTTCTGTCTCTCACTGTTCAAATAAACCTACCATTAAAATTATAGACTGATAATTTCTTTGTCAGTGGGCAAACATACAAAATCAGCAGGGGATCAAATACTTTTTTCCCTCACTGTACATTGACTGATAAATATATTGACTGATATATATTTATTGACTGATGTATTTATTGACTGATGTATATATTGACTGATGTATATTGACTGATGTATATATATATATATATATATATACAGTGGGGAAAAAAAGTATTTAGTCAGCCACCAATTGTGCAAGTTCTCCCACTTAAAAAGATGAGAGAGGCCTGTAATTTTCATCATAGGTACACATCAACTATGACAGACAAAATGAGAAAAAAAAATCCAGAAAATCCCATTGTAGGATTTTTTATGAATTTATTTGCAAATTATGGTGGAAAATAAGTATTTGGTCAATAACAAAAGTTTCTCAATACTTTGTTATATACCCTTTGTTGGCAATGACACAGGTCAAACGTTTTCTGTAAGTCTTCACAAGGTTTTCACACACTGTTGCTGGTATTTTGGCCCATTCCTCCATGCAGATCTCCTCTAGAGCAGTGATGTTTTGGGGCTGTCGCTGGGCAACACAGACTTTCAACTCCCTCCAAAGATTTTCTATGGGGTTGAGATCTGGAGACTGGCTAGGCCACTCCAGGACCTTGAAATGCTTCTTACGAAGCCACTCCTTCGTTGCCCGGGCGGTGTGTTTGGGATCATTGTCATGCTGAAAGACCCAGCCACGTTTCATCTTCAATGCCCTTGCTGATGGAAGGAGGTTTTCACTCAAAATCTCACGATACATGGCCCCATTCATTCTTTCCTTTACACAGATCAGTCGTCCTGGTCCCTTTGCAGAAAAACAGCCCCAAAGCATGATGTTTCCACCCCCATGCTTCACAGTAGGTATGGTGTTCTTTGGATGCAACTCAGCATTCTTTGTCCTCCAAACACGACGAGTTGAGTTTTTACCAAAAAGTTATATTTTGGTTTCATCTGACCATATGACATTCTCCCAATCCTCTTCTGGATCATCCAAATGCACTCTAGCAAACTTCAGACAGGCCTGGCTTAAGCAGGGGGACATGTCTGGCACTGCAGGATTTGAGTCCCTGGCGGCATAGTGTGTTACTGATGGTAGGCTTTCTTACTTTGGTCCCAGCTCTCTGCAGGTCATTCACTAGGTCCCCCCGTGTGGTTCTGGGATTTTTGCTCACCGTTCTTGTGATCATTTTGACCCCACGGGGTGAGATCTTGCGTGGAGCCCCAAATCGAGGGAGATTATCAGTGGTCTTGTATGTCTTCCATTTCCTAATAATTGCTCCCACAGTTGATTTCTTCAAACCAAGCTGCTTACCTATTGCAGATTCCGTCTTCCCAGCCTGGTGCAGGTCTACAATTCTGTTTCTGGTGTCCTTTGACAGCTCTTTGGTCTTGGCCATAGTGGAGTTTGGAGTGTGACTGTTTGAGGTTGTGGACAGGTGTCTTTTATACTGATAACAAGTTCAAACAGGTGCCATTAATACAAGTAACGAGTGGAGGACAGTGGAGCCTCTTAAAGAAGAAGTTACAGGTCTGTGAGAGCCAGAAATCTTGCTTGTTTGTAGGTGACCAAATACTTATTTTCCACCATAATTTGCAAATAAATTCATTAAAAATCCTTCAATGTGATTTTCTGGATTTTTTTTTTCTCAATTTGTCTGTCATAGTTGACGTGTACCTATGATGAAAATTACAGGCCTCTCTCATCTTTTTAAGTGGGAGAACTTGCACAATTGGTGGCTGACTAAATACTTTTTTTCCCCACTGTATATATATATATATATATATATATATATATATATATATATATATTGACTGATATATTTTGACTGATATATACCGGCTGGTATATCACATTCCTATTTCTGTATGTATTTTCCTATGTATTGATATACTAATCCATTACAGACAAGCACTGGAGACTGAATAATGTTGATTTACTTGCATCTTTATTGATTCAGTTTAATTTGCCCCAGGAATGATTTTTGTCAAGCCATTACAGTAACGTAAATACAAACAATTAAAAAGCATACAAAACCATTGGTGGCATTTTGCTTTCTAAACCAATACAGTAACTACATGGATATCAACAACATTAAAAGTAAACCAACAATGGCTTTGGATATGGTTGATGTGGTTGTACCATGTAGTAGAGCCACATAGCATTCATATAAACAGTTTTGTTTTTATTAAGAAAAGCTTGTAACACTCTGCCGATTCACAAGAATAATAACGATGATAATAGTAACAATTATCTTTAAAAAAATATTCACACGCAGTGTCTTACTATCTTGGTATGCTGGAATTAACATGTACACATAAAAGCCATAATATTCACATCTAATCGAGTCCACCGCCTGTCTGACCTCCTCAGTAGGACATAGTGCAGGAAGTCTGAACCCTACCTAGGGAAGGCAATGTCTTCCTTTGCCTGGCTCTCTAACTCTTTGAGCTGAATCTCACTTTGAAAACGTGCTGATTTAAAAGGGCTGGGTGCTGTACTCTCACTCGTCTAGTAGTCTATCTTTACATGAGAAGGCAGTTTCAGCTCCTTTATCTTTCTGCTCACTACTGTCACCTTCTCCTCCCACTTTTGGTCATAACAGCAAAGAAATAAGAGCAATATCAGAGTAAAGCCAGTGTGCTGCCGTGTCTCTTTCCCAGACCGCAGAATAAAGTCATTTTCAAGCCATTTTCTGTGCTGGTGGGGAGCCCTGACAAGAGCCCAACCAATATGTTTTATGGGGGGCGCAAAACTTACCCATACGATATATCTGCAAATATACTGTTTTACAGCAGGGAAATGAAAGAGTGTAATTTTCCCAGACTGAATTCTCATTCTCAAATTGCCATCCAAAAGAGCAATTGTCCAATAACTATGCTTCAAATGTTGATTTCATACATTGTGACAATAATGACACATCAAGAGAATGACTGCAAGTGTACAGATATGCATTAGATACCCTTTTTACAGACTATTTATTGAATATTGGTTATCGGTGGAGTTATCGGGCAATACCAATATAGTGCTAAAAAGCCATTATCGGCAGATAATATCAGTGAACCGATATCGGTTGGGCTCTAGCCCCGACACAGCTTAATGCTGACCCCTTGTGTTCAACTTTATGCACCGTGGACAGTTTGCCGTGTCAGAGAGCCAGGCACTCCAATTACCCTGAATCTACTCTAAGAACCACTCAGAGTCAACTAAATTTCATCTCAAGCCAGTTGAGGAAATGAACTGAAATGGAACCAACCAACTTTACCACTATTTTCCTAATTTCCTCGTAAAAAAAACCAATTGTGAGTCTTCATCCCCAATATTCACCACACGTCCACTGTCTCCACACCATCCCCTCACACACATTCTGAGAGAAATATCACCCCAGAAATACCAAAGACAAGCACATTCTCCAAAACATCGCTCCTGATTATCCTCTAAAATCAACTTCTTAAATCTGATGTATTTTCCCCCGACCTCATGTCTCATTACCATAGATACACAGTTTGGCTAACTACCCTACAGGTTGGCACCAAGCCTTCCAGAGGAATAACGTAATCAAACTACAACGTTATTGTCTTGAAACTTTTGGTGCCATCTTTGCTTCTATTTGAGTGTCACTGCTTCCCACCAAGACTGCCTGGTAAGCAATGGATACTTTATCATTGACATGATGGAGTGGTTTAGGTTAAATATTAAAATACATTGCCTGTACTGTAGTTTATATTGCATTCTATAGTGTAGCAGTTCAGTTGATGTTTTTCTGTAGTTTTATATTCTTTATAGTTTGTGTTCATAGTCTAAACTCTATTGTAGGGTTCTCTGCTGTTCAGTTTGCATTGGTTGTTTTTACTGTATATATTGCAGTTCTAATTGTGTTGTAGTTTAATCTGTCTTGTAGCCTATCTGATTGTGTAGTTTGTAATCAAGTTGATATTAGGTCAAATGGAGCCTCTCTAAATCTCAGTGGACTCTATCCTCTCTAGGCGTGAGGGTCCGGCCCAGGGGGGGGGCAGCTGGAGGAGGGAAGGGGGACCATTCATGTTCTCACAAGGCGGTGGGGAGAGGGTTAGGGCGATGGGAGCAGGGAGAGGGACTGAGGGCAGGGGAGGGAGGGTTGACAGGGCTGGTGGTGTGGAAGGGGAGCTGGAGGATGAGGGGGAGGGGGTGAGTTTGGCCCCCAGCTGTCCCACCTGTTGCTCCAGAGCCTGGTTCTTCTGTAGGGTCTCCACATAGCAGACCTGAAGCTGCGCCTGGTATTTCAGCACACGCTCCTTCTCGTCAATCCAGGTGTGTCGTTCCTGGTCAAAACTAAGGGCCTGACGCTCTCTCTGCTGAACTTCTAGACGTAAGGTCCCCTGGAGCTGATCCAGCTGCTCTCGCAGGTTCCCTGATTCCTCCCACTGGGCCTCCTGGCGCTGCTGGGCCTCTTGGTAGAGGTGGGCGTCCTGACACAAGTGGGCCCCCTGATGAAGTTGAGCTCCCTTGCGCAGTTGGGCTTCCTTGTGGAGATGAGCCTCCTGACAGAGATGGGCCTCCAGGCACTGGTGGGCCTCCTGGCATTGCTGGGCCTCCTGGCGCAGCTGCATGTCACGCCACTGGGCCTCTTCATGCTGCTGCCTCTCTTGTCTCTGCACCTCTTGCCTCTGTGCTTTTGCCTCGTCACTCTGGAGGCTGAGCAGGGCATCTGAGGTGGGGGTGAGAGGGGTGGACGAGGGCTCTGAGGGGGTGCGGGGGCAGTAGAGAGCCCACCAGGATGGGAGTAGCCCACATGCTGCTAGGGTTTGGGTTATGGCAGGATCAACCCCTCCGCCCATCTCCCCCAGAGCTTGTTTAAGACCCTGCACCTCAGCCTCAAACACACCTAGCTTCTCCCTCAGGATAGACACCTGACAAAGAGAATGAGGATTACTATGAGTATGTCAATATGTGTGTGCATGGTCCGGTTTCATTTCCATCCCTAACTCTGAAAGGACAGGATAACTAATCTAGTGTCATTAGACTTACAGGTTTCTATGTGTATGGGTATAGGTACCTCGGTCAGCATCCTCCTCAGCTCTCCCTGGCAGCGCTCCAGCTCCAGGCTCTTGGTGCTGTATGAATTCTTGAGGCCCAGCATGGCCTCCTCCCGGTCCCTAAGCTGGGCGTTGGCCTCCTTTAGCTGGCCCCTGAGGGCCACCATCTCCCCCGCCCGCTGGGTCACCTCCGCCTGGCTCTCCCTTAGCTGCTGCTTCAGCAGGGAGATCTCCCCTGCCTTCTGACACACCTAGAAAATACACATAGTAGAGCAGTGTTATGGGGAGGCTGTTCACACCGTCGCACATACACGCGTGCGCACACACATACACACACGCGCATGCACTCACACGCACACACACACACACAAACACACACACACAAACACACGCACACAGACACACACGCACACAAACACACCTCCCACTTGGTCTCCTCCAGGCGTGGCAGTATGTCAGCCTGTTCTTTCCTAAAGTGCAGACACTTCCTCTCCAGCTCCTCTCTCTGGGCCAGCAGGGCAGCTATCTCCTCCTGCAGACGCCGCTTGTCCTGCGACAGACAGGTGATCTGGGCCTGCAGGGCATTCTGAGAGCGCTGGGCGCGACGGGTCACCTGCACACAGAGGAAGAGATTATCAACATTTGGTGGACTGTTATTGGTTACCGCTGCTGTGGAATGTGTGGTCACCTTATGCAGTCGTGTCTGTGTGTGTGGTCACCTGCTGCAGGCGGGAGGCGTAGTTCTGCCGCAGCTCGTCCATCTGTTTCTCCCACACGCGCTGCTTCTCCTCAAACACCTGGACGGTGGCGGCCTCGCTCTGGTCCAAGTTACGACGCATGTGCTGCACCTGGGAAAGGGGATGACAGGGAGGAGAGAAGAAAGAGAGGACAGGAGAGGAGAGGAGGAAAGAAAGAGAGGACAGGAGAGGAGGAAAGGAAGAGAGGACAGGAGAGGAGGAAAGGAAGAGAGGACAGGAGAGGAGAGGAGGAAAGGAAGAGAGGACAGGAGAGGAGAGGAGGAAAGAAAGAGAGGACAGGAGAGGAGGAAAGGATTGTTGCGACAAACCCGAAGATAACTGCTACATTCATGAAATCTACTAAATTGACTCCAATAAATGATCTTTCAGCTCTCACCTCTTGCTCCTTCTCCCAGAGCCGGTCCTCCAGGTCTTGGATGACGTCATCAGAGGAAGGAGAGGGACGTTGGGGTGCTGGTGTGTCCCCCAGGTGGTTCAGCTTCTGATAGGTCGAGGGGCTCTTTACTGAAGAGGAGCGGTCACTGTACGAGGCACTCAGCCCGTTCTGGAATAGTCGCATACATTTATAAACAGTCCACTCCTGCTGTGGCTTTGGTATGATAGTGTACCAAACTAGATAAATGCAGATACACAGAGCAAGTTAAAAAAAATGTATATGAATTGCTACTGGTAAACTGCACTGCACTAAAAGGATGTCGACTGCAGTGGTTTTCATTATGTTTAAAAGATCCCATTTGTGGAGCAGCAAGCAATGCACCCACCTGGTAGCCTGGTTTCTCCAGCTTGTCCACAGCCACTGCAGCTCCAGCTGTGGTCCCTAGTCTGTTGATATTGCTGGTAGAAGCACTGAGAGGCCCCAGGGCCGGTTGAGGCCCGTAGCACGAACCAGAGCCTGCGTACGTGGGCAGGCTGGTCAGGGAGTTCCTCCCCGAATCTGACATCCCTCCATGGACCCCTCCGTTACCCTTACCCCCTCCTGCTCCCTCTGCCCGGCAGCTGCCCCTCCCTGGGCTGTCCTGGTCTAGGAGGAGGGCCTCTGGGACTGCCCCTGGTTCTCCTCCCCCTGCTCCTCCTTCTCTGTGCCCCCCCACACCCCTACTTTCGCCTCCACCCCCACCCCCACTGGTTGGGCCAACAAGGTTCTGCATGGAATGAAAGCTCTTGGGAACCACTGGTTTGAAGGCAGAGGGACGAACCAGCCCCGAGTTGTTCTGGAGGGTTGAAGGCCAGGAAGAGACAGAGAGAGAAAGGGAGATGGAGGGGGAGAAAATGTTTGCGTAAAGAGAGATATGTGTAGAGATAGTTATAAAGAAATAGGAAAGGAAACTGTTAGCATAAAAACACATTAAAGCCTTAAAGTCTTAAATTAGTAGACAATAGAAATCATTATGAAATACTATGCCAATAGTTATTTGTAAGACCTTTTCACCGTGTCAAATTCTATTTCATCAGCTGTTATAAGAAAATAAAGTCATTACGTAACAGTGTAATTATGAAGTCATAATGTAACTGCAATGATATAATGATACAGCAGCGTATGTGTGTTGCTGTGATCTAATTGTGAGCTAACCCAATATGCCAATAAGCCGCAGGACCCTATAGCTACACACATACTTGTTTGAGAAGAGGAACATACCTGCTCTAGTTTGCCAGAGACAGGCAGGATTTTGGGTGGGTTGTGGGTTGGAGGGTTGTTGTGATTGTCGGTTTTGGTCTCTCCAGTTTCTCTGTGTTGGTGGGGAGTTATCCCAGTACCACTGTCATTCCCCCTCAGTCCCACCACGTTACTGCATACATCCAGACTCACAAAACCTCCTTGTGGTTCTCTCTCCCGCTCTACCCTCTCTCTTTCCCTCTCTACTCTCTCTCTTTCCCTCTCTACTCTCTCTCTATCCCTCTCTCTCTCAACCCTCTCCCGCTCTCTCTCCCGCTCTACCCTGTCTCTATCCCTCTCTGCCCTCTCCCTTTCTCTCTCCCATACTCTTTCTCTCTCTATCCTCTCCCTTTCCCTCTCTCTCTCCCACTCTTTACTCTCCATTTCCCTCCCTCTACTCTCCCTCTCTCTCTCCCACTCCCTCTCCCTCCTTCCTGCTCCGTTCCCATATCCCACCCATGGATCCCCCCGGTCACAGTTGGATGCCGTTGTAGTGGTACGGTCTGTGTCAGAGTCCGGTGGCCGGTCTGTTCCAGTCCCAGTCCCAGTCCCAGTTCCAGTCCCGGTACCAATACTAACACTTCCTCTTTCATCACTAGACACGGTTCCCTCTGAGACTGTCTCTGGGGGGAGTCGTTCGGCGCTGTAGCTATGGTCGGCAGGGCAAAGGAGAGACAGGGGCAGAGCGCGGGGCAGGGTGGTCCTAGTGCCCACTGATTTCATGGCAAACTCCTGCTCCCCTGCCACTCCGCTACCCACACTGCCCATGGTGAGGGGTCAAGGGTCAGAGGTGAGGGGTTAGGTGGGAAAGAGAGTCACTCTGCCTCACACACTGGGAAGCAGCCATCATGGGTTAAAGGGGGAACCGGAGGCACACACACTGAGGAGAAGGAGAGGGAGAGAGAGAGAGAGAGAGAGAGAGAGAGAGAGAGAGAGAGAGAGAGAGAGAGAGAGAGAGAGAGAGAGAGAGAGAGAGAGAGAGAGAGAGAGAAAGAGTAGTTAAACATGTACTGTTCATAAGTACCCTCACGCAGACTGTTCATCCAGATGGAAGTAGAAGGCAGAGGCAGTAATATTTACACAATGACTATGAATGGAGTTGGATCATCTGAAAAAATATACACAGTGAAATGCAGTGTGTAAAAATAGAACAGCTCCAGTCAAATGGTGTTGTAGTATGCAACGTCCAATTTTATACACAGTTACTATAACAGTAGTTTCTGAGTTTATAAGTTATGCGTGCAACACGTATGTGTGTTTGTGTGTGTGTGTGTGAGTGAGTGTGTAGGTATACAGCTGTTGACAGCTACATCAGGTAACAGCTGGCTATGCTTGCACCTCTACTATGCATTCTAGATGGAGTGATTGCTGCAAAAGGATGCTCACTAACTCTCTCCTAGTACATAATGTGTGCGTGTTGGCATACAGTACACTACCCCGGTGCCCTCAATGCCTTGATATGAGAGAGAGAGAGAGAGAGAGAGAGAGAGAGAGAGAGAGAGAGAGAGAGAGTTGCTCTTGCCACAGACATAACCCCCTCCCCCTGTCAATGTATCACACTATTTACTTCCAGTGGGGTGAATTGTAGTAGCAGCCTAACACACTGTCTCTCTACAGATTTGATTTCTCCACTCACCCCGCCCTTCACGATTCTATCCATCTCTGTCACCCCTCCCTCCTCTCTCCATCCCAACGCGACTATATCATCATTCGAATCGCACGAAGACTGAATCGACTCTGTTCCCCAAAACATTCGCGGTTATTAGATTTAAATTATTATCCTTGTCAAAGGGACATGCATTTGTCATAGACTGAGCCGCTTTGATGTAGCCTGTGATACCGTATCACCCAGCAAATCCGTATGCCCTGTCTAGAAGATACTTACTCTTTACAGCACCACAGCCGTTTGTCCGTTAGAAAACACCCTTGGCCTCGTTCCGGTCGGTACTGAAGGATGCTAGGATGTTGTCAGTGGATGTTTTTTTCTCTCGATATTATCTATATTATCGACTTCAGCCGCGGTCGGTGTTGTATCAATGATGATGGAGGCAGCCGCGGATGCGACTATCAGCTGTAACCACACACAACCCAGACACTCCCCTCCTTCTGCACTGCAGAAACGCCCCTTTTTACGCCACTCGACCATACATGAGCAAACGCTATACGTAGGCCTACAGTAGTTGTGCGCAGGTCAGCTGTCTGTTCTCCCGCACCCCGGTCCGCAATTGCTAATAACCCATCTGCAACTATATGTGATAAAGTGAAAATCGGAGGCCCGCACCCGAACCTAATCAGCTAATATAGAAAATTGGATTTTTTTGACAGAGGGTGCAGGATTTTTTGTTGTTGCCTTATTTAGATATGTTTCTGCTTATAATTTATGACATTTTGGTAGGGGTTTTGTTAGACAACTTGTCTAAAATTACATACATGCAGCTTCTCTTCTGTCATTATACAGTATGTTGCCCTAGAAGACTAAATAAACCCTTGCTCACTAGAAAAGCATCATAAATAGACGGGAACGATTTTCTTTGCAACATTTCCAAATGACATCAGTTTGACCGGTTCTAAGGAAATATAAAGCTGTGAAAATGAAATAACATGTTTCTGATAAGATTTCAGTTCGGCTTGAATGCATATTTTATGTAGTTGAAATACTATCAGCTATCAGCTATGATGCTGATAAAGATAGCTCCTCTACAGAGGACTGCGCATTCACATTCTCTCAAGATGCTGAAATACATACATCATATTTCTCCACTCCTTTTCCCGAGTAAAAATGTAGCCTACATTTGGTGTATCATTTTACTGCAAGAAATGCTTAATTCTGAAGGAGTGGATATTAAAGCTATGTGAGAGGTTATTCTGAAGGAGTGGATATTAAAGCTATGTGAGAGGTTACAGACCTACTGTTCAGATTTCAGTTTTCATTTAACCCATCTGAACAGTAGGTTACAGTTCCCTTGATGTGCCATAGGCCTATTTGAAGTCCCTGTCTTGTGATTGTCGAATTTGTAGGCTATAGCACCTCACAATCATCACACATAACATAGCTGTCACTGCTATCATCCTCTTTTAACACTTCACCAAATGTTTCCCAAACATTACTTTTCTGTCCCTCCCTTCTCTTTATTTTCAACTCTGCATTTCGCACGAAATAGCAGATAGCCTAAAATAATGAAAGAAACACCCTCAAAGTAGAATATAGGCATCATACATTTTAGTCATTTAGCAGACGCTCTTATCCAGAACCCACAACCCTGACATTGCAAACGCCATGCTCTACCAACTGAGCTGCATCCCTGCCGGCCATTCCCTCCCCTACCCTGGACAACGCTGGGGCAATTGAGCGCCGCCCCATGGGTCACCCGGTTGCGGCCGGATACGACAGAGCCTGGATTCGAACCAGGATCTCTAGTAGCACAGTTAGCACTGCGATGCAGTGCCTTAGACCATTGCGCCACTCGGGAGGTTTACGCACTGTCTCTCTACAAGTATTCAAGCTCTGTTAAGTTTATTGTTGATCATCGCTAGACAGCCATTTTCAAGTCTTTCCATAGATTATCAAGTTGATTTAAGTCAAAACTGTAAGTAGGCCACTCAGGAACATTCAATGTCTTCTTGGTAAGTAACTCCAGTATACACTGAGTGTGTCACGTTCGTTGTATAAAGGATCGGACCAAGGCGCAGCGTGGTATGCGTACATAGTCGTTTATCATCACAGACAAAATAACAAAATCCAACAGAACGTGAAGTTCAAGAGGCTAAACATCAAACACGCCAAACAGAAACAAGATCCCACAACATAGGTAGGCAACATGGCTGCCTAAGTATGATCCCCAATCAGAGACAAAGATCGACAGCTGCCTCTGATTGGGAACCACACCCGGCCAACATAGATATACACATTCTAGATATACACATAAATATTCACACCCTGACCAAACCAACTAGAGATCTCTATGTCAGGGCGTGACAGTACCCATCCCCCCCCCAAAGGTGCGGACTCCGGCAGCAAAACCTGACTCATTAGGGGAGGGTCCGGGTGGGCATTTAGCCTTGGTGGTGGCTCCGGCTCCGGGCGCGATGTCAACCTTACTGTCCTCTCCTTTTCTGGCTCCCCGTTGCACACCTGGTCCGGTCTGGACCCCGGCGCGATGCTTCCCCTCTCAGTCCTCCCACGATGCACCAAGCCCTGTCTGGACCCTGGTGTGGGAGGCCCCGACCCTGGAGAGGGGCTGACGTCTGGGCCTGGACCGGCAATCCTCCCGTGATGCACCAAGCCCTGTCTGGACCCTGGTGTGGGTGGCCCCGACCCTGGAGAGGGATTGACGTCTGGTTCTGGCTCTGCAGTCCTCTCGCGATGCACCAAGTCCTGTCTGGACCCTGGTGTGGGAGAGTAGATGACCGGACCCAGACTAGGCACCGGTGGAGCGGACTTCTCTGGCACTGGAGTGGAGCCGCTGACCGGAGCTGAACTGGACCCCGGTGGAGTGGACTGCTCTGGCTCTGGACTGGAGCAGCTGACCGGGGCTGGACTAGGCACCGGTGGAGCGGACTGCTCTGGCATTGGACTGGAGCAGCTAACCGGAGCTGGACTAGGGCACCGGTGGAGCGGACTGCTCTGGCACAGGAGTGGAGCGGCTGACCGGAGCTGGACTGGGCACCGGTGGAGCGGACTACTTTGGCACTGGAGTGGAGCAGCTGACCGGAGCTAGACTAGGCACCGGTGGAGCGGACTGCTCTGGCACTGGAGTGGAGCAGCTGACCGGAGCTGGACTGCGCACCGGTGGAGCGGACTGCTCTGGCACTGGAGTGGAGCAGCTGACCGGAGCTGGACTGGACCCTGGACTGGACCGTACCGGGCTGTGGACACGTACCACTAGTCTGTTGCGAGGAGCAGGCACGGGCCGTACTGTGCTGGGGACACGCACCACTGGTTTGGTGCGAGGAGCAGGAACAGGCCGTACTGAACTGGAGACACGCACCACTGGTCTGGTACGAGGAGCAGGCACGGGCCGTACCAGATTTGAGACACGCACCACTGGTTTGGTGCGAGGAGCAGGTACGGGGCGTACCGGGCTGGCGACACGCACCACTGATTTGGTGCGAGGAGCAGGAACGGGCCGTACCGAACTGGATACACGCACCACTGGTTTGGTGCGAGGAGCAGGAATGGGCCGTACCGGACTGGAGACACGCACCACTGGTTTGGTGCGAGGAGCAGGAACAGGCCGTACCGGACTGGAGACACGCACCAGTGGTTTGGTGCGAGGAGCAGCCACAACCCGTCCTGGCTGAACGCTCATTTTAGCCCGGCAAGAGCGGGGCACGGGCACCAAGCGCACCGGGCTGTGAATGCGCACTGGAGATACAGTGCATATCACAGCATAACAGGGTGCCTGTATGGTCCCACGCTCCTTAACACGAGTGCGGGGAGTTGGCTCTGCTCTGAAACCTGGCTCCGCCAGCCTCTGCTCTAAGGACTGCGTTCTCCTTTTCTCTAGGGTTAATTCCTCTCTCAGCTCCTCCTGTTGCCTAGCCAGCTCCTCTCTCCGTGCATCCACTGACTCCTTCTCCCTCCTCTTCCTCCACAGTCAGCCCTTTCAGGGCCTCCTTCTGCTCCGTGTGCCCCCCAAAAAATGTTCTTGGGGCTGCCTCTCATACTTCCTTCGCGGTCGGCACCGTCGCCGTCGCCGTTGATCTTCTCCTGCCTGGGCTTCATCCTTCGCCCAGGGTCCTTTACCGGCTAATATCTCCTCCCATGT